AGCTCTATCAGCTGGTAAAGTAAATATTTAGATGACTATACAGATAGCTGAAATAGAGCTCTATCAGCTGGTACAATAAATATTTAGACAACTATATAGATAGCTGAAATTGAGCTCTATCAGCTGGTAAAGTAAATATTTAGACAATTATATAGATAGCAGAAATTGTGTTCTATCAGCTGGTAAGGTAAATATTGAGATGACTATTTCTCCTTAAAAACATTTAAACACAAGACTAGTCTGTTGTTTCCAATTGTTATAATTGTCATAAATTCCCTGCTGACCAGATGTGGGATAATGTGTATTTAACTAACCTCACTGAGATCAGGGTTCATAGAGCCAGCAACACGACCTCCAGTCATTCCTCTCTGTCCACCGGCAGCTATAATATAATCATAATATATATCATATACTACTGTTTGTTACACCAACACTAAACAAAATTCAAACTAAACATTGTATGAACTGAGATACTGCCTGGAAACTAAGCAAACACAATTGGCTTTTAAAAATTCTACTGTATCAATATTCCTCCACTGGACCTTTTCTATCATGTGGTTGAAGAGTCCAAGGTCCAAAGCTGCAAGGGGTAGTGGTAATAGTAAACTATTAGAAACTATTAGTCTCTTACCTTCAGGTCTTACTCTGTGATTCACTGGACGTTCTCGTCTACCTACAGCCTCATCTTCTCCGCTGTCATCATCGTCAGGTCCTAAAAAACACATCCACACATGATGTTAGATGACCAGAGATATTCATACTCTTTATTTTGAGTCATTTATGGGAGATGAAAGACATCACCTGACTGCCTCTCAAAAGCACTGGCAGTGGCATCAAAATTTATCTTAGCTTCAGGAGGATTCAATCCCATGGCATCTAAACGCTAGGTTCGACATACACATTGCTATTGACTGAGCTATCCCACCGCCACAAAAGATAGTGTTCAAACCCAGCGTTATAGGGAAAATATTGACCATTACACAGTTTGAAAGTTGTTATATCACTTTCAAGGAGATAGTATTAGTGTCAGTATTGCAGCATACAAGTCACAAGTTATAGGAAGAGCTAAATTTGAGCTATCAGTTGGTTTAGCAAATTTTAGAGGACTATGTCGATCTTGAAAAAAATAGTTTCTTACCAAAAACATTTTTATCATCATCATCATCGTCATCATCATCTGGGGTGATCTGATGTTGTTTTCTCTCTTCATTCTTTAATCTTTCAGCCATTACTTTCAGGGCAGCATCAGTTTCCTGATTATTGAAATAAAAATACATAAAAATTCAGAAAAAAGCAGGAAAAATTGCAGCAAATTTCATTTACATGACTCCCTCACAATTCAAGTTCATAGGGCAATCTTTCAAAACATTCAAGAAGGATCGATATATACTTACTCCCTGACACACAAAGTAGGGAACTCAGTGGAGTAGCTCAGGGGTAAGAAAAAAATTCTTATGCCTGTGTCAGTGCATCTGAAAGTCATCCCAGTGTTGACTTTAACCCCCCAATAATACCTACCACTACCCTATTGAAGCAAACCCTACCTCTAGTTTATCCTGTTCAGCCTTCTGTTGTTCCTCCAACTGTTGTTCAAGATAGGTTAAATTACGGAACTTAATTAAATATTGAGAATATAACTTCTGTAAATCTTCTTCAAACCTTTCATACTCATCCATATAGGCTGGTCTAAAATAGATAACAGTACAATATCTCATTATATACAGTATTATTCACACCTAGGAAAGCAAGGAGTAACTCTGTTGTCAAAGGGAGATAATATCAAAGAGGGGAATATAATTATGAGTTACTTCCCTTTAATATAACAACTTATTCTATTTAAATGGTTTTTTTTCTGGCTTTATAATCCTGAGTTATATTATATTGCTCAAATTGATTTCAATGTCCACTAGGAGCAAATATGTGCATATAAAACAGGATTAAAACAACATATTGTAAAAACAAAATTGGTGAAAATAATCATAAACTTAAAAAAGCATACAATATATTCTGGTATTTCGGACATTTATTAACTCAAAAATTAAATTCAGAAATAGTTTATCCATACATCATGCTTTATCTAAGATTATGTCGATATGTCTCATTAACAAGGACAAATATCTGTTGACTACCTGACACTCTGTAAAGTCATCAATCTCTTCTGGTTTCTCTCCATTTCATTTTTACGTTTTTCTATTTTAGCTTCTAAATTCGCCTCATCTGATGCTACATTATCTAACATAGTCAGTGTTTTCTTGATATCAGCCTGTAATATTATCAATATACCTAATTAATAATATTACCTTGAAGTGTTTTTCCAATATGAGGAAAATTATCATTATTATAATGAGTAAAGATATCTATGCATATCCAGGAAAAAATTCAAAACACAAAGAAGACCAAGGCCATTTGATTTCAAGGTAGAATTAATAGTAATAGAAACTGTAAATTGATGAGTTCTTACACTATTTATGTTTAAGAATCGGAGCCTTGCTCGACTCTAGTTATATGGACTCCATTAGAGGGCTGTCAAAGTGACAAAACAGATCTTTCATCATTATATCATAACTGTCTCTATAATTACTTACAACTCTGTCTCTATAATTACTTACAACTCTGTCTCTATAATTACTTACAACTCTGTCTCTATAATTACTTACAACTCTGTCTCTATAATTACTTACAACTCTGTCTCTATAATTACATACAACTCTGTCTCTATAATTACTTACAACTCTGTCTCTATAATTACTTACAACTCTGTCTCTATAATTACTTACAACTCTGTCTCTATAATTACATACAACTCTGTCTCTATAATTACTTACAACTCTGTCTCTATAATTACTTACAACTCTGTCTCTATAATTACATACAACTCTGTCTCTATAATTACTTACAACTCTGTCTCTATAATTACTTACAACTCTGTCTCTATAATTACATACAACTCTGTCTCTATAATTACTTACAACTCTGTCTCTATAATTACTTACAAAAATCATCATAATTTCTTACCTCTACTGCCTTTATAGAACCTTTTAATCCACTTTCTACTTCATTGATCTCTATGGCCTGGCTACAACATTTACTCTCATTTCCTATGAATAATATAAAATACTAATAGATATACATTAATATTCCTCTGACAATCCAAAAACACTCTATGCTTTTTCACAAAAGACACATGGTCCCAGTCAGATTTGGATGGAAGCATTGAGGTTTACACAGTAATTACTTAAAATTAAAAAATAAAATATAAATACTAACCCTGAGGTCGACCTCCTTGCCTAATAAATCATATAAAGCCGCTCCTTTAGTTGTTATAGAGGACGCCAACATTCTGGCTTCTTTTAAATCATTTATCTAAAATAACAAAAATATCAAGATTATTAGCATAGTGGACTCTCTAAAAGGATGTCGAGTTGAGAAACCATAATACAAACTGGGCATTGTTGGTAAGCTATGTGAACTCTTTGAAAGGGATGCCAAGTTTCAAAACTCAAATACCACAGAAACATTATCAAACTCTTCAGGGGATGCTGAATCTATATGAAACCTTTGATTGGAATTTAGACGCCCCATTCACAGAGCGATGTCACGCAACTCAGAACAATCTCAAATTTTTCAGATTCTTTGTACAAATTTAAAGAGATATTGAAGTGAAGTTAAAATAACTATACTTTAAGTTAACACTGCAGATTAAAGCATGAATAAAAACAACCCAAAAAATAAATATCAAATCCACAATCTCACCCTAGAAGAGACATCAAAAGAAACATTAGATGTATCATCGTCAGCATCTTCCAGAGCTTTTTCTACATTAGTTTTAACAGCACTGGGGATCCTCAGAGTCGACT